CACACACACACACACACAATACTAGATCACATTAGTTGTCGCACATCCTGTGTAATAGTTATGGTGTTGATGGTTAAGCTTTGACTTGCGTCCCTTACCTTTGTCTCTTTGTTCTTGTGTTTTGGGCTGAAATTGATGCTGACATATGAATTAATCATAATGTCTGGTTATGAGTTGTCAAATCTTTTAGATTTCAAATCTGTTGTATGTAGAGCTGCAACTCTATTCATACTACATTCATTATCATATAATTAATCTTTTCCTCAATTAATCGTCTATAAAATGTCATAAAACACAAATGCCTGTTACAAAGTCCAAGATGACATCTTCTTGTTTTATCCACCTAAAAACCAAAGATGTTCAGTTAACTGTGAAGTTGAAACAAGATAATTTTGGCATTTTAATGACAAACGATTAATCAAGTATTCAAATAGGTGACAATTCATTTCTGTCTATCAACCAATTGATTAATCGACTAATTGTTTCAGCTATAGTTGTATATTTATGCATTTAAATTGCAATAAAAGCACAAATGTTTGTGCGAATAGAGAGATACCCCAATATTGAATTTCAGGGCTGTATTTTCTTGCTAGTAACACCAGAAATTCTTAACACACACAAGCATAAATGACACCAGTCACCAGAGGAGAACTGATCCCTGTTCACAGCCAGGTTAGAGGTGGCACAGCTGGTCTGCAGCTATTGTTAAAGACTCCACATTATCTGATGTAATATTAGCTCAAACATCATTGAAACAGTGAAAGTAATTCCATTTTCTCATTAATGGCTGATGATATAGAGGCCATGATGTGTCATGCATCCCTAGTTCTGGGTAATGTCTTCCTCAAAGTGTGTGCCTCTTGTCTCTGGTGTAAACACCCTTTCTCTGAGAATACATTGATTGCATCTTTCTTACGCAGGACAGTTATAAGAAAACCTGAGCGTTTTAAACTGAATCTGAAGGAACACGTTTCTATGAACATCCTGAACTAAAATTCAGCTGTCAAAGCAATTTGGCCATGTTTAGTCAGTTCCTCATTCACTGACTTAGATCTCTCTAAATGAGTCACATCCCTCTCATCTCTGCGTCACAGTGCTTTTTATTGATAATATTATACTCTGTGGTTAAAGCAAAGCTCGTTACGAGTTACAGGGTTCATTCACGTCCCTTGCGA